TGAAGACAATGTACAAGATATCTGATATGATAATGATGCTACCTTCTCTTACTTTCTCCCCAAGGTTATTTTCTTCCTTTCACATCTAGGAATATTTGGGGGAGCATGAGGTCTTTTCCTCTATATGAATTAAGAGAGAGACAGAATGGTTACTGGGTTCCTGTCTACTTAGAAGTCTTCATTGACTTTTGGAAGCATTTTCAATCCCTGAATTATTTCCTTCTTTTCCTTCAATGGAAAACTGGTCATCATTCAATTGGATCTTCTAGATTTTTCAGTGGAAAAGGCAACATTTTATACTGTTCCTGGCTCCTACCCCAAGGTCCCGGGTTTACCAGTGTCTTAGAGACTGCTCACAGAGCAGTGCCGGCAGCAAAAGACCCAGGAGGGACTCGGGGAGGGGGAGGAAACGCCGAGCATCAAGAAAGGGGTACTGAAAGGGGAAATGGAAAATCAGGAAAGCCAAACACTGCAAGCCACAGGCATTTCAGCCCTGCTTCAAAAAGATGCACACATTTCACTGCAGTTTTCTGTAGCCTAGTAGCCAAGTGATAAAGACTGACTGAACATGGGAATGGACAGAACCAGCTTTTAAGTGTTGATACAGAAAGTGTTGTGCCTAGAACATGTCAAGTTTTTGTCACTGTTGTTCATCTATACTTGTAGCCAACAAATATTCAGTGTTTTTTATACCTCACATATTCTTCAAAGAATTTTGTTTAAAGTAAATGATTTAATCCTTGTAAGAGCTCTTGGAGATGGAAGGAGTATTCCTATCATTTTCCGGCTGAGGAAAAGAATACAAAGGAAGATTATGAAACTTGCTAAAACCACAGAGTAGATAGCAAGTGGTCAAACTAGGATTTGCACCTAGAGTTCTTACTGCAAAATTGACATAACTGATATTTAGTATTAATAGTCAGTTCAATAAGTATCAACTGAATGGCTGTACAAAATAAATGATTTACTTAACAAATAATACTGATCCAAGATTGAGTAACCATTTAAATTTTGAATTGCCACTTTTATAAGTTACACTGATGGAATATTTCTTTCCTCACTATATGAATTCTCTTCCTACTTTTCTGTATTATAGAATGGTGGTTGTGTTTTATAAGATTTTTGTACAAATAATTTCTAAATCAACTAGAATTTAAAAAGAGAAAACATCAAATTCATTAACAGTAATTTTCTTAAAAACGAATAAGCTACTAGGTTCTACGTTAACTTGTCCAAAAAGGAGGCATGTTTCTTAACATGTCCTTGCACATAGCAAAGATAGACCTATTCTTTTATTTTTCTGTTTAAAAAAAAATACAATAATTTTGACAGTTAATTGAAGGTAGGACCATGATGTGTTCTGAATGCAAAGAAAAAGTGGGTATATATCTAGCTTTATGTTGGCCATGTACTAAATATTACTTAGTAAACCATTGTTTCTGAATGGAAAGTAAAAAGTAGACATGAAGCTGAAATAGTTTTCTTATCTGCAGGTAAAGTAGATAACCATCAAATATATCTCATCTATAGCCTCTATTTTCTCCCCTTCCACTCTTATTCAATTTAAAACTTTGTTCTCATTAATATTGAAATTTTAAAAATATGCATAGTTTCCAGAGTTTTCAAAAAGTCCTAGAAAAATATCAGAGATACTCTGTTACAGCTCTAGGAAGAGTTATAAGTCTATATATCCCATATACATGTATAAAAAAATAATGATGTGCTTTTCAAACTTTTCTGAATCTATGTCCCTCCAGCTCTTTGGTGTTAGTCTTTTCTGTTCTTCATCTTTCCCTTTTGACTTCACTGCCAGTGGTGTTTTTGTTTGTTAATTTTTTGTTTTGTTTTTGAATGTGGGCTGCTGTCCTGAAAGGGAATCCTGGTGGATCCATTTTGGGAGTTCCTGGTATTTAGACTGCTTCAGCCTCACAGACTTAACCACAGATCGCTTGGTGCCAATGATTCTAAAAGTAGGTGAAATCTCTCCCAGTTTTGGCTGCCATTTTAAAACCACGTGACTGCATCTTCAAGTGAGTATCTGTTGGCCATTTTGTGATTCTCCTGGCTTCTCTCTCATACACATAAATGCCATACAGATCTTGTGGCTGTTGGCAGTTTATTCTCAGTAACTTATATATTGGGTTTCTTAGGAATGCATTTTCACTTACTTTGCTGCATATGTTTTCTACAGCTTATAGACTGCCAACTAGGCTTTGACTATTTCTTTTTTAATTTTAAAAATTAAAGTATAGTTGATGTACAGTATTATATAAATTACAGGTGTTCAATATAGTGCCTCATAATTTTTAAAGGTTATTATACTCCACTTATACTTACTATAAAATATTGGCTATAGTCCCCAGTTTTGTTTTATGTGAGAATTTGGGAAAGTTCAAAAGCTATTCACCACCACCACCATTTTCTCAGAATTTTTTCTGAATTTTTTATTTTTAATAGCTTTTAATAAATAATTTATAATTTAGATACCATTAAGTCCACCCATATAAAGTTTAAAATTTTATGGTTTTAGTATATTTATGGAATTGTATAACAATCAGTATAAAAACTTAGAATAGTTTCATCATCTCATAAAGAAACCCTATATTTATCAGCAGTCACTCCCCCATCCCATATTCTTGAGACCTAGGTAGCCAGTAATCTGTTTTCTGTCTCTATATACCTCCTATTCTGGGCATTTCATATAAATGGCATCATATAGTATGTGTTCTATTGTAACTGGCAGAAAATGATAAGAGAAATGAATATTAAGTCATTTTTTAAGTTATTCATCTCAAATGGGAATCAGTTCCATGATAGATTGTATGGTGACCTATTTGCATAGGATCTGAAGCTGGTTTCTTAATAGAGCAATAAAGTACCATTTAAAAATATGACATAGTTAATATTAATGACAATGGGTAAAACAATACAATGCAATACATAAATTTTTTACTGTGTCAAGAATATTCTCAGCAATTTATGTATAGTAACATAGTATTCACAGAAATCTATGACAGAAGTGCTATTACTATTGTACCCATTTTATTGATGAAGAAACTGAGGAAAAGTGAAATAAGCTCACCTAACTCAGTCAGTGGCAGAGCCAGTTTCCACGCCCAGGTAGTTTGACTCCACTCCTTGTTCCTAACCACCATTCTACACTGCCCTTCTGATGTTTTGTCAGATATCATTCTCTTCTAAACTGGCAATAGTAGAAAACAACCTAGATCAACTTATACACTAGTTTGCTTCTTGTTGCTGATTTTTCACAGCACTGCTATTTTATTGACATACAATTTAAAACTAAGAAGACCAAAAAATTTATTGTTTTTTTAGTTCCAGACATATGCAACAGCCTGGCTATTTAAAAAATAGTCACTTCTTCCTAAAATATATTTGACATACAATTGACCATATTCACTACAATTAAACAAAATTGCCTCTTTATTTATGACATAGAAAGACTTAAAAGTACTATATCACTAAATATAAGAAATAAAGTATTAGTCAGTAAGCTGAATGAATGTTCAATTGACTTGAGTGCATTATAATCATGTAAATTTTCACAGGACTTTAAGAACAAAAAGAACTTCAACATGAAACTTAGCAAAGCCATAATAATAACTCTCAAATTTTTTTCTGCACTGAATCAACCCATCCAAGAATCATTCTGCTTCCCTTGAGAGGAAAAGAATCTCTCCTGTTTAATAAAAACTTCTTTCTAAAAATCTTAGATAAAGCTTTGAAGAGTTTCTCCTTTTGAACTTGCCAGAATCACTTATAAATTGAGTAACAAACTATAACGGAAATTTAGCATATTACTAGGAAGTTACTCGAAAAGCATTAAAGAAGCACATTCTAACTTCTAAGATACCTTTTCATGATTATATTTTCAGATCCCATTTTCTGTGGTCCAGGAACCCTCTTCCAAACACCGCCACACCCAAACCCCGTTTTCAGATTCTCTACTCCCTAGATTATCTAGGGGGCATACATTCTGCTTTTATGTTATATGTGTGTGTGTGTGTGTGTGTGTGTGTGTATGTATGTAAACATATAATAGCTGAGTATCAGCTGCCTTTGCTGGAAACACAGAGTGGGGATGGGGGGGGACTCAATAAAAGACTGACATTTAAGTAGAAGGCTTTTCATAAAGAAATCGAATGATCTAACAGCACCAAAAACCAAAGTCATATTTTCAAAATGTCTCAGTGAAGTGATATTTTAATATGAAAGCAGCAACGGAATTAAGCAGCACTCAGGTTTAGCTCTTCAGTCCCAGGGGCTAGCCTCCAAGGGAATCAGCATAGGAAACCACAGAAGGCATATCTTTCATGGGCAGGACATATCACACTGTACTATTTCGTAAATCAGATGGAATAGCTTCTCAGAAAGAAACTCTGCAGTTGTGAAACTGTACAAATGTATTTATAATTATTTTTGACATTTTCTGGGTGGTTTCATAAAGAAAATCTAAGTCTAATTATACTTCAGATTTAGAAGTGTGATAAATGATAACATATTTTTCAAATTATTGTTCACTGGCTAGAGTAGCCTTCTAGATGCCTTAAGTATAGCTCTCAGTTCAAGTTCTGCTTGAATTATGCCTAGCTGTATATATTTCTTATATAGCCACTAACTTCCTGTTTTCTAACCCTTTCTACTGGCTCATTTAAAATTAGTTACATAAATGTATGTGAATACTAGGCTTATGCTTTAAATTGTGTTGAAAAATAAATTCAAAGAAAAACACTTTTACATGCTAGAAAAAGACAATAACATAGAAGGAAGAGAGGAATTATCTTTATAATCAAAGGATGGAGAAACTATTATCTCTTAACATGGAAATGTAAATTCAACCATCATAAAATCATCTCTTTCAATTGATTTTTATGTACATACAAAATATGTAACTGTAGAACATTTTATAAACATGAAGCAAAGATAACTGGCTAGGTTTTATGTGTGCTTCCAAAGAGCAGAGCCTTCCAGAAACTTACCAGTCATGCAGTTTTCAAATTCAATGTCATCAATTGCAGCTCCTCCTCCCAGATCCCGTGTTCGGACACCTTGAAATATGACTTCGAAATTCCTTAACTTTCCTAGAAGGATGACAGCCTTTTGCCAGAGATCACCAGAGTTCTGCTTATTTTCTTCCCATACTTTTGATAGTCCTTTCTCTGTCTAAAGATAAAGAAGCTTGCATTAGGCAAATAATTTATCACAAAAGAAGGAAAAAACACCAATTATTGAGAACACAAGCATTTGACCAGTGAAAACTGATTAAAAAGCTGATAATAGTCATGGTATACTTAACCCCATTGAAACAGAGGCCTATTAATCTACTATGTATTCCCAAAAGAAATATGAGCAAGACTTGTAAACTTGTTTCAATATTTTCAGAGACATCATTATTAGCAAGTGAATACTCAATTAAATCCACTTCTTGCTTGCATGCAGAATTCTCAATGGATAGTTAATGGAGTCTGAATAGTTTACTGAAGCCCTGGTTTCACTGTTCTAGGTACCCTCCCCGCCAAACTTCTATGCACATTCTTTAATCACTGATACTGTATTGGGTTGACCAAAAAGTTCATTAGGGTTTTTCTGTAACGTCTTATGAAAAACCCAAATGAAATTTTTTGTCCAATGCAATACCTTTCTTTACAGACCTGAAATAACTTACAGACCTGAAATAAGAGAAAAGAGAGAAGAAAGGAGGAACAGGTAGGAGAAATCACATATCAATGATAGATATAAGATATTGTGAGGTGAATGGAAAGTGATCACTTCTAAGATGGTATTTCAAAAGTTCTATTAGATGATTGTATGAGTTGGGCTATTTATAAAATTCTACTATGATTAATACATAAGGCTAAATAGTATTTTATAGCAAATACTTCAAATTGTAAAGGAAAAATTAATTTTCTAAGAAAACATTTAAATATCTCCCCTCAAGACAAATGTTTCCTTGACCAAGGGAATATAAAGAAACGACAAGGGACTAAAAATAACTATACCCATGCACAGGTGGGGTAAGTTATGAACAAACTACAAAAAGACTAAAACCCAACTGCCACTTCTGAGGTGCCAGGAGCAAAAGCAGGGACAGTGCATGATTCCTACACAACAGTACCACCAAGGGGGTGGGCAGACCACCCACACCATTCCTCAGCCCACTTAAGGGACCCAAGCAAGGGGAACTGGCACTTGTTTTTGCTCCCTGATGCTGTAGCATGAGTCCCAATGAAGTCCTGGTCGAATTTCTTGTCTGCCCTCTTATCAATTTCTATTGATTAAAAAGTTCAAGAACCCAAATTAGTAATACTCTGAATGTCAAAGTTTGGTCTGCTAGCAGTACAATATTCTAACAGATGAATAATCCAAGTATAACATGACATGATATGACAAGACATAATGTGACATATTACCTAATATTAACAATAGCAATAACAAAAAATGATACTAACAGTAAAACAGACTGTAAATCAATTGAGCACAAGGAAAGGCTTAAACTGTATGTGTTGCTCTTTGCTATTCTGGGTATAGCCCTTATTGGGAATTAGAGGTTAACAAATCACAACAATGGATATATAACAAAGAAAAAGGGGAAATATATATATAATTATGTTTATATCCCCCAAATTAATATTTCAGGGTCCAGTATTGTGTTTTTATGACAAATTCACAAGTAAATTTGGTCACTGAAACTTATAATCAAAAAGGTGGAATAGAGGAGAATATTTAATGGGATGGCATCTAGAAAATCAAATAAGATATTCCAAGTGATTCATAGCATATAACTGAAATATATATTTTACAGATTTTTAAAAAAATATGGACTGAACAAAAAAGAAGAAATGCTTGAAGAGGAGATCCAAAGGAGTTACAGAGTCATAGTCTCACCTTTTTGGGAAACTAATTTTAATAAATGAGGCAGCTGACACCTCATTCTGTTGAGGGAAGCACAAATCAATCAGTCAAGCAGCTCTTCTGGGGAATTACAGAAAGTGGAACTCTGTATTAGTTCCTCTAAAATTAACTTTGTAAACCAACTAACAGTGCACAGATAGATCTTTCAACATCCTCCCCAAAATAACAAACAAATTTTTACACCCAGAGAGTCCTGTGGCTTCTGCATTGAAGAGGATGGGAAATTCACACCTAATTAACGGAAATTCATATCTTTCTAATGATTAAGGAAGAGAAGTTTTTTCAAGGTTAGTCTCTGACTATCACCAATGTCTTAGCAATTTGGAATCAAAGGAATGATTAGTTAAATTAAAGATTAAAGTAGAAGGTGTTTGACACATAACAGCATAACATGCATAGATAATGATATAAGTCTGTTTTAATTTGCAAACTTAATTCGAGCTCAGTGCTCAGTCATGTCCGACTCTTTTGGACCCCATGGACTGTAGACAGCCAGGCTCATCTGTCCATGAAACCAGGCAAGAACATTGGAGTGGGTTGCCATTTCTTCCTCCAGGGGAATCTTCCCAACCTCGGGATTGAGCCAGGTCTTCTGCGTCTCCTATACTGTTGGGCAGATTCTTTCCCACTGAGCCACCTGGGAATACATTGCTAATTTATCCTGTTCATTTCAGAAGTTTATAGAACCACTTATACACTATACCAATCACCAAAAGGGTTTTCCAACAAACGCCAACAAAGAAGGTTGTGTGATCACTTTAACCAATAAAATGCAAATCACTTCTTTACTCTGACAGCAGGCCTTCTAATAAATGAGATTTAACTAATATATTTTTTTTTCTCATTTTATATGATAGGAAAAGAAAATGAGGGTTAATGGATTGACCTGATTATGGGTTATTGTAGTATATCATTTTAATATATTTGCTCTCATTCAACTGTGGATATAACATATCAAATCATGTCCCCTTAATTATCAAAAGTAGCCATTCAAATGTGCAATGGAGATTTATTTATTTATTGACTTATTCAGACAGTCCTCCATTTATTCAGCAAACGTTTAATGCTCATACAGTTGCCATATATGACATTAGACACCAGGAATAAGAAGGTCAAAAGAGAGGAGGAGCCTACACTATAATGGTAATCATTTAATAGAGATGAGCCATAAAAAAATTATTAATATAAAATTACTCTAGAAACTAAAAGCAGAACTTTTAAAACATTTAATATACACAATTAAAAAATATATAAATGTATACATTTACATAAAATATATACCTTTTATGTAACTAAAAGTAACTAAAAATTATCAAGTCAAATTTGAAAAAGCCAGAAAAAATAAGAACTATAAAAATTATTTGACTTTATTCATTTTTAAGATAATAGAGCATAGCTTCCAAATATTCCAATTAAATTTTCTGTGTTTGGCATGTAATGAATTATTTCTGCTATTAATACTCTTTGAAACTTCAGCAATTTTTTACACTGAAAATATGCTTAAATAAACATAATGCCTGGAAAAGATTAAGCACATAAAGGATACAAGCACACTGAGCCCATAAAGTGTAAAAAAGATGCAATGTGATCCAGGAATAATTCTGAACCAAAAACAACAACAAAAAAGTCATTTAATACATGTCTGGCCCTAATTACTGGCACTGCAGCCAAGTTTTGTCTTCTGACTCTAGACAAGACTAAAATATTGATTAATGATGCCATGTAGTGTTAAAATCTTTCATAGCCATAATAAAATATTTTTATGTATCTTTTTTAAAATGGAAAGGAATAGCTATGATTTAGAATAATATCTGTATCTAGCAGATAAATATTGGGCTGGCCAAAAAGTTCGTTCAGATTTTTTGTGTATGCTCTTATGAAAAAACCCAGATGAACTTTTTGGCCAACCCAATATATATAATTCTCTAAATCATCTAAATATTAAGTCTTAAAAAGTTAAATATTAGAAATTTATATTCTTTAATATTCCAAACATTTTCAAATGTTTAAAATTTATATATAGTTAATCCTATTTTGAGTTTTCAAAAATAGGATGAAGTCAAGCATAGACTATTTTAAAAGTGCATAAAACCTCTTCCACAGAAATATCTTGCAAATGGCTGCTATACTGGGAGTAAAATCTGTAACCAGTGGCTCTTGTATTTACAAGAGAATTTCTGTCCTACAAAACGATTTTGAAGTTTAGATTAATATATTCACTGAACAGTCATGTGTGGTTTTAGACATATATTCAATGAAAACATCTTAAACAGTATGCCCTCCTGTTTTGTAGAATAATGTTTCTTTAAATTCAAAACATTTATTTCTTGATAATTGTCTTTAAAATTTTAGGCAACTAACATGGGACTCAGGCAAAGTAGGCAGTTTAATGCAAAGTATTGAGATCAATAAAGCTGAAGTTTTATATAATTTCTTACAATCACTTTTTTTTTTTCCTTTTTACCATTCTGATCTTTCTGTTTCCCTTCCTGGGAACCAGGATTCCAGAATCACAACTTCATTTACACTGTACAAGATAGAAAGTTTAGTTTCTCTTTCAGTCATACACACACACAAATTTGATATATACATATATATGTATATACACACACATATATTTTTTTTCCCCAAAAAATAAGCAATTGTCTTTTTCTCTTCAAATGTCACCTTGGAGAAGCATTCATAGGACCTTCAGGGTGGGTTTCATTCTCACTCACATCACATCACCCTGCTTTAATATTTATAGCACTCTCACTTCTCATTTTCCAATATTATCTTATGTTTTAATTATTTCAGTAATTATTCACTGTGTGTCTTTCCCACTACAACTTAAAGTCTATGAGGACAAGAGCTTTATCTATCTTATTAACCTAGATCTCCCATGCCTAAGACAGAGTTTGGCATAGTGTAGGTACTAAAAAAGCATCTTTTTAATCAATGAAGACATACTTAATTGAAAATGGTGAATTAAGATGTTGCATGAAATTGTTAGTACTGGCTGAAAATAGCTTCAGTGCCTCTTTATAAAAATTATACCAGATTTCAGATTATCTGAAAAGGTAAAAAAACTAGTTTTAATGGGTTTAAATTGCAGAGTTTGTCATAATAAACATTTAAAAATTGACTAACAGATAAATTCTCTCAACAGTGAGTCACTACACTCATAGAGATAATTTCCTGAGACTTACTATAGTTATTTTAACTCTTAGGTGATACAAAATGGAGGAAGAATTATTTATAACAAGGACTAG